CGCCTTCGGCGGGGATTTCATGAACATGAGCATTGGTGTCGAATGACACTCCAATTGGGTTGATCGGCTTTGCGAACATGGCGTACCTGGTGCAGACTGCAGCGGCTTTGGCCTTGGGCTTAGGCTTAGGTGAATTTGCACGCTTCTTAGCCGCAGGATTTGCATTGGCCTCGCTGCTCGATGCCGCGGCGGCAGATTTGCCGCCCGTGGAGGCATGGCTAAACTTGCATTTATCACCTCTCGTGCACTTCCCTTGGGCAAAGAAAGAACACGGTGCTTTCTCTCCTTTACCGCCTTTGGGGGAACTTGGCCTGCCGCGGGTCGCGGAGCGTCCTCGCGGCTCCTTGCGGTGCGCGTAAGGGCAGTTTGCCCCCCTCGTGCACGAGCCCTTCTGGAAGTCAAAACAGTACTTCTCCTCGGTGTCCTTCGGCTTAGGTGCGCTCTTTTTCTTGGGGTCCCTCTTTTCAGGAGCGGCAGCACCAGCCTTGGGCGTCGGGGCTTTACTGGCATTGACCTTGGACACGCGCTCTCGGTTCTCGCGAAGCCTATCCCTCTCGATTAGATCCCTCATGCAACGCATTAGGAAATCGTACGATTTATTGGGATCATCGTCACGGCAACGATCATATGTGTCGATGTCGTACCGCAACAGATGGCAGCTTCTCACTTGGCGAAGCAAGATGTCTTTCAACACCTTTTCTTCCGGCGGCCTTTTCATGCCGGCGATCACGGAATCCCAAGCATTCAGGAAACGCTTGAGATCGATGATTCCTTCGCCGTGTCGCGAGACACGCAACAGGTCCTCCAAGGAGTAGAGGTTTCCGGCTTCTTCACTGGTCTTGAAATATTGGTCAAACATAAACAAGACCTGCCTTCCTCTCATGGCCTTTCCCTCCTTGGCACATTCTTCCTTTGCTGTTAGGATTCGCTGAGCCAGATCGCCTTTCGCTGAACGCGTGAGCGCTGCGAGAATCTTCGTGTCTAGGGTCACGAATTTTCCCGGTTCGCCGAGCTCCTCCAACAGCTTCTTCTTGTCCTCGCGATCAGACCAGACTTCCATGATCCAAGGCCAAGCCTCGTCTGGACGGTCAGATGCGGCGCGGACATCCTCACGAACCGATGTTTTCCATTCACGGTACGTTTCAGGAGTTGGCATCTCCTTGAATCGCAACGTCTCGCTTTCGCGGGTTCTGGGCTTTTCATCGTTCGTGTGGCCTTTTACTAACTTCATCAACATTTTGGCGAATGCTTCTTGGCCGAGGTTAGGCCCGAGGCCATCACCTTCGTCTTCATCACCATCGCCATCGCCATCATCATCAGGTGGCGGACCGCCGGGAGGCTTACCACCCTGCTTACGGTCAGTTGACATTGGCCCCTGAGAGAATTGCAGGGGTGGGACCGGTGCACTTGTCTTCACCGGGGATCGGCTGCTACCTGATGGCTTTTCAGCGGGTCCTTGCGGATCGCGAGCATCTGCGGGCAGTGCTTCGCATTCGGCAGTTGGAATCACGCTAGGGGTATATTCATCCCCGTAACCGTCATAAGTAACAAGCGACCTCAACTTTTCCTTTGCATATTGAAACGGATGGGTCAACGGGTCCAACATTGACCTTTGGGACCGAGCTGACTTCATGTCGTCGGTCATCAACTCTGGTGAATCCTCTCGGGTATCACCTACCCCTTTGGGCTTCGATCCATCCTCGCGGAGGTCGTGTTGCTTCTGATACTTCTTCAGCTCATCAAGCTCGTCCTGCAGAAGCCCGTTTTGGTGTGCCATCATGTCAACCGTTCTGGCGTGTGTAGCCTCGACACGGGCTGTGTCATCGGCATGCTTGGCAGCTTGCTCATGGAGGAGCTGCTGGGCTTCAGCCAGGGTGGATTCGATGGCTTGCCTAAACTCAGTTGTTTTGCGTCCCATTTCCGCTTCATGCAATGCTTGGGCATTTTCCTCACACACTTGGCTTATCCTAGCTTCAGCGAAGTTCACTTCTTGCATGAACTCATCGCTCACTCGCTGTTCGTATTCACGAATCCTATGCGACTGGGCTTGCACACATTCAGCGTAGTGTGCATGCAGCTGATTCTGTGCGGCACGGAGCTCCTCACGGTTTTCCGCTTGCAAATGCGTTACAGCTGCTTGATGCAGGGCTTCGGCTTCAGACCTAATGGCTGCATCATTCCCAAAAGCAAAGATTGCGGTATTGTACAGTTGAAGGGAATTCATCAGGGTGCGGTTGTATTGCGCATTGGCGCTTGATGCGAACATTCGCACACCGCCGCCGGTGGCGTTGCCGGAGCTAGCTCCGGCAGCGTCCACAGGCATGCTGGATCCATCAACTGGCACGAGGGAACCGTCCATTGCTTAGAGCTAGGGGCCTACGGCTGATAACCTATAGATTCAAGGGTTACCGGTTTGGGGCCCAAAAGGAAACAACAAACCGTCCAAGTGCGCTGCTCGCACATTTTCACGCTTGAACAGCCACACTGCGGATGCAACGGATGTAAAACCCCAAACTGACCGATCAAATTCTTCAGTATGCTCGTTGGCAATGGAAGACTCCTCTTTTATGCTGCCTGGGATCCGGCTTTTCGTCGAGTCGTGCTCCGGGATAGTGGTTCGCCGGGCTTATAGTGTGATTCGCTGTGATTAGCATGCCTTTACGTGGCTTATGTTGGTCATTTGCTTTGGTTGACAAAATCGGAATCCGAGTTGCGTTGTTTAGCCTTGCTTCCATCTCAAAACAAGACTGTTGAAGAGCTTTGCTCTGCCACAAAGAACTCGACCAATGGCTACCCTTTGATTTCGCTTTCACAGTGGATCCACAACACAACCACTCCTCTTCCCCTGATGATGGCCCTGCGTACTGACATCGAGCCCAAAAGGGGATCCGTTTCCAATCACATGATGATGCTTCAAGCTCCTGGACTTCTAATTGGACCCCTTTGTTCTGTCCTACCGCTTTTCTCATGGGCCCTTTGAGCAAAAGAAACGATTGGGCGTCCTTTGTCGGCTCCAGGTGGGTGTCAAAATAGGGGGACTCGAAACATGGTTCTCCTTTTCGTCTCCCATGTCTGCCTTTAAATCACGGTGAACATGGTACCGAGCCTCCAAAACACACGCGAGGGTGAATCCGAGTACTCTGCCAGTCGCCTGTTGAAGATCTTTTGGCACTTGGCCTCGACCGGCTGTCGACTGGCCCGGCCCGGGAACCCCGAGGGTGAGGGGTTGATCAGCCTCCTGTTTTCTGCATGTAACGCCTTTCTAGTAGTACGGAAAAAAAGAAGAAGAAAAAAACACAACAACAACAACAACAACTCCCTTTGCAGGTCCAGCTGGAGTTTCGTTGGGAGGGTGGTCGGTATGCGCCGATTGCAGCAAGGCCATATTCTAAACTCGGTGTTGAAGAAGTCACCCTACCGAATAAACCTTGAAAGGCTGTTGATAATGTTAAGATTCAGGGAAATCCCCGAGCCTGAAAATTGTTACACCTCAAATGAATACAGAAAGGTAGGTTTTACGGGCGTGTGTTAAAATAGGGGGAGCCTCAAATGGTGGCGATGGTGCAATCCCTGTTAAAACCCCCCCAAACAGGGTACCCTCAAAAACACTCACTCAAAAACAAACACACGCACACACGCACACACATACGAGACGCCAATCAGATGACTACTCCTGCGTTCCAGTATGCGACAGCCAACTCGTACTGGGCTTGGGGCAAAACTGGGGCTCCATCCCCTTCACTGTGGGAACTAGTGTCATCAAGCAACCTTTGCCCATTTACCACATGGACAGAATCCACGCCGCTCGGCACCAACTGCTGGGAGGTTTCCCCCAATCCCAGCTGGTGACCTGGTGTCTGGAGTGGATTTGGTCCATTCATCAAAGGATACCAGAGGAAGCCAAACCCCAGACCCCAGTGGCCATGGGGCAAAACATCTTGTTTTGGCTGATCTTGAAGGAAAACCCCCTCCCAAAGAAAGGAACAGAAAGAAACGGCACCGTTCAGCTAAGAGGACATGGGACAATTGGCGAGTGACCGGGCTTTTGTGGGGAATCTGGGCTGTCCTTCTTGTCCTCCCCAAACTAACAATAGGCTGCCACACCCTTGTTTTTCAGTTACCCAGAATGCAAATGTTCTGTCAGGGACCCTTTCCCACCCCCCGACCCCAAAGACCTCCCCTGCACAAAGGATGAGGACGTACAAGGCCAAACAGGGGCAATAAACAGTTGGGGGAGCGTCTTTGGTCGCAGGTGGGTTTGTGGGGTGTTTTCGGATACAACGGCGCCCCGCCCGAATGCAGAAATGTGTTTTTTTCCCCGCGCCGAATCTCATTACGCAACTGAGGCCCTTCGAGCCATGTGCAACGTAGATTACATCCCAGGTTCGAAGCGTTTGGCCAGACTTGCTCATCGACAAACAAACGGGCTTCTCAAAAAAAAGGAGAACACCCAAAATATGCGGGGGAGCCTTTGGTTTCTTGTACAACCAACCATGAATTAGACTGTCTCATGCCTGAGAGACACAAGCTGAATCTCTTTGGATCCCTAGGCCCTAGAACTGTAGACCCCCATCCCCAGGGTACGAAACCTGAAATTGGAGGATCCCGCAGAATGTGCAAATTGTATGTTGACTCCCTTTCAAAAGCAACCAACGACCCTCTATGGACCCCTTTGTTCTGACTGCTTCTTTGTGCGTCCTTTGCAAGTGCAAGCCAAAGAAAAGGCAAGAGTCTGGGCAAGTCAATGTGCTGGTATACAGGTCTAAGCATACGGCGGCATCACCTTCTCAAGTCGCCAGAAGTGCGCCAGACACCCATGGCAACATCCACTCATTTCAGGTTCCCTTCACTAGGTCCATGAAACAACCGGAGCTTGAAATGAAACATCCATAGAATCATGAAAACCCACGCGCCCGGAGATCCTCCGCAAAGTCGCAAAGAATGTCCAAACCCGACGCAAGTGAAGGACCTGCATTGCCACCAACCCTGGAGCCACGGGTTCACACTCCGTTGTCAAACGTTTGTGCCACCGCGGGGACCACGGGGGCCACGGGGGCCATGGTGGTGCGCGCCGCGGGTAGGCCCGAATAATCATACCCAGAATCATAGGCCGGGGCGAAGGTGGTCCGCACTGTTGGGGCGGAGAAAGCCACAGGATTCGAAGCGCCCGACAGGCATCTGCTGTAGTCAAAATTGGCAATCTCCTCAGGGAACAGATTCGACTCCAAGTTCTGGGCTTGACCTCTTTTCTACCGTCATCTGAGGCAATGGCCATAGGATGGAACCCAACCATCCCAGTGTCCACCGACCGCGTTCCCTGTTCAGACCAAGCAAATATTACACCCAAGCGTTCCGGAGTCGGTTCAATTTAAAGGCCGTACCTGCTCAAAATCTATCACTCGTGCGAGACGAACTCCATGGGTGAACCTGGAACCTCTGCAAGCAAACACAAGCAGTACACCAAAAAAACGATTATTGTGGGACGCGCCCTTTAGATGGCAATGTGTAACAAAAACTTACTGAGAGTACCAACCTAGGGCGTAGCAAAAGAGAGGTTACATGGCTATGATTTTTTTTGCGGATCTAATCTTGTTACCGGAGGTCCGTAACGGAGGCCCTTGTTACGCAGGTCTGTGACGGGAAAACATTTCTTGAAAGTCCCAGTACCAGTAGCATAATGTAGCGCAGAACAACGAAGAGCAGCAGCTCCCGCTCGAAAGTCGCAACTCCTCAGTACAAACGCAGGACGCAAAGCACGCCTCCGCAGCTCCAGCCTGAAATTTGCAACTGCCGGCACAAAGCCACGCGATGGCAAAAAGGGGTTCACTGGCCCTGGGGTTGTATCTGCAACGAGGTATGTAACGCCTATGCAACGAGGTCTGCAACGAAGCAAAGCAAAGCGCTGTACACAAAGCGCGCCTCCGCAGCTCCAGCGTGATTGCAACTATTCAACGCAAGCCAAGAAGGGGGGTCGCGGGCCTGGGCTGGGGTTGGATGCGGCAAAAAGGGGGAATTTACTGCAACGAGATATGTAACGGCCATGCAACGAGGAAAGTGCACCTCCGCAGTTCCAGCTTGATTGCAGCTATTCAACGCAAGCCAAGCTGCACAAAAAGGGCGGTCGCTTGCGGGCTGGGGTTGGTTCTGCAGCAAGGTATATAACGACCATGTAGCGAGGTCTGTAGCAAGGCAAAGCAAAGCGCAGCGCACAAAGCGCGCCTCCGCAGCTCCAGCTTGATTGCAGCTATTCAACGCAAGCCAAGCTGCGGCAGAAAGGGGGGTCGCTGGCCCGAGGTATGTGTTGGCGAGGTCTGTGCCGAGGCAAAGCAAGGCAGTGCACATAGCGCGCCTCCGCAGCTCCAGCAAGCTGCGGCAAAAGGAGGGGCCGCTGGCATGGGCTGGAGATGGGTCTGTAACAATTTGAATCGCAAGCTGCCTGCAAGTTGACTCTTCGGCAAAAGCATGCGCTGCAAAAGTCTGCTCTTCAGGCACCACGGAAATCACTGAGAGTGTGTGCGTGCTTTGGGGTATATGTAACGAGGGGCATGCGGCCAGCCAAGCGGCTTTTTCATCTGAGGTGTGTAACGAGGGTGTGTAACGAGGGGTGTCACGAGCCAGCGGGTCTTGTTTGAGAGGTCTGTAACAAGGTCTGTAACGAATGTCCGCCGCGCATCTGCTGCAGACCCCTGAAAATGTTCACGGCCACATAAGCGGTAGACAAGGGTGCCGTTGTGTTCCGGGGGATGCCCTCAGAAATAGGGCTTCGGTCCCTCCCCGCTCAAAGAGGAAGGGACATCACCTATAGCAAAAAAACCTTTTTCCAATTCTGAAAATATCAAGACATCCCACAGTATAGTACCCTTTTGATGGTGGCTTCAAAGGGGAACAACAGGAAAGCTACCCAGTATCGGTCCCCTGCTTTGAGACAAACCCATGTACGGTTGGTACAGCGAATGTCCAGGGCCCATCGGGCTAATACTCTCTTGGCCTGCTCTCACGTGGTTGACAATTTTGGAATTATGCGCCAGGGCAAGAGCTGGGCTGGCCCTCGAGGCTGGGTCTGGGGCTGGGGCCCTGATTTGTGCGGTTTCGCACCTCACAAAATTGGACCGTGCCAGCCCCCCGGACACCCCGGCCTCCCAGCCATCCCGACCATCCCAACCGCACCTCTAGACCGCGCCAGCCCTCCCGCACACCCCGTCAAGTGTCAGCCGCGGTTGGGGTCGGCAGCACAGCCTGGTAACTAAGTAGGGGTCCATGTGCTAAGGGGTCTTCCCGCCTCGGACGACAGGGTCCGGCCCCCATAGTAGGCGTCCACATAGTCCCTGCGGCGCCGCCCGTCCCGGCGCCGCCCGTCGTGGATGTACACCGGGGCCACATACCACCAGTAGAAGCCGGGGCCTCGAAAAAGCTGAAGGGCGAACATGCTCTGGTGATACATGGGGCCCAGTAAGGGGTTTAACCCTTGGTTTATAAGGGGGCCTGAAAAGAATCTAATGAAAGGGTGCGCAATCGACTTGTTCAGCGACTACTCAAGCCGACCAACTCAATCCAGGCCAACAGGCTTGGACTTGACAAAAACAGTAGCCACAGCGAGCCTTTGAGCCCTCCCTCCATGTTCGCCTTGTCGGAAAGGTGTGTGGCTCCAGAGAAGGGCGTCCCAAGGACATGCTTCCCCAAGAGGACATGGGCAAATTGAGGTTCCCCCTCAATTTTGAGGCTATTCCCAAAACAAAATTACGCATGCTCCCCGAAAAAAGCCTCGTGAAACAGTTGGGTATCTTGCCCCCTGGATTTTGTGGTTGAGACTTGAGACCCACCTCAAGTCTAATTCGGTTGCTCAAATTGAAACCCTAGCCGGGTGGGCACTTCCCAAAGGGGTGGAACCCAACCAAGGCACGCAACCCAAATCAGGCCCCAGTCAATTTAGTGTTTGATTTATTGTTGCGGCCGGGATCCAAAAGTCCGAGTCTGACCCAAGCCTCCCCCCCCTTAGGACATGCGGTTCGGTTCCCAACTGGTTTCATGGTTTCGTGGAGCTTCTGGAACTTAAAGCCAATGTTTCATACCTTGGCCAGACTTCGACGCCACACATTTTGGCCCCTACCCTAAGGACAGGGGGAGGAGGCAAATCCACTTCAACGGCTCTTCCGGAAACAAACATGACACAAATTAATGCCTCACCTTGGACTGTTCTGGCAACCAAAAAATGATAAATGACATGGAACACAATAAACGGCCACATCATCCCACCAAACGGAGGACCCTCTGAACTTGGCCCCAAAGATCTGCATCTACAATGTACAATAATTCCAAACCCCGACATAAGGAATCCGCAAAAAAAGCACCCTACATCATGAGCTCGTGTTCTCCGCGAATCGGTGAGCTCGACATGAGACATGGGCAGAAACCTGATGTTTCTGTGTTTCTGGCAATGTGGGTTGTCTCAAAACAGGGACCCAAAAAATTGGCTGGTTTCCTTTTGGTCTCTCTTTCAAACCAACCAGAAAGGCATACCCTCAAAACAAGAAACGCGCACACATGACGTGTCCTCCACCATAGTAATGATGATGATGCACACCTCCCCCGCCGTGATAGTGGCCGCCACCGCCGCCGCTACCGCCACCACCTTGGGATGCTGCAGCGATCATCAGACAAATGCCGATGATGATGAGGACGATGAGGCCGGTGATCACCATGATGCAGCCTGTCCGCTGGGGTTTTCCCAGTGGAGGCTATTCACTTCTAAGACCCCTACGTAAGGTAAGCTTGTTCTATCCCGAGAAACGGGGAGTTGCAACCCTTTCTCCTTTTGAAGCGCTTTTAATTGCAGCCTCTCCGCCGGTTTTGTGAAGGGGAAGAAGCCAAACCAGCTTTATGCCCGTCGGGAGGAAACTCAAAACACTCGCACTGGGCAAGGTTTCGCTGCTGCTCCAAAAAATCTGCCGAGGTCGAACTTTGTCAACCTGGGTGAAGGGAAGCCAAAGAAAACTGTTCACCAATATTCTGCCCCAGTGGTCATGACCCCCTCCAATGCGGACGCTCCTCAATGGCCTTTCAGTGGAGAACCCCAGCCAATTCCTCACGGGCCGTTGAAAACAACTATATTTTAACAAGCCTTGGGCCTTGGGGTCAGAGTTGGAACCTTGAAAGACGGTTGAAACTTTGCTTTGGCTCGATCTTGTCTCTCTGAATGAAAGCCGGTTCGCTTTGCGTGGCCCAGCGGCTTTCGGTTCCGGGGACTAAACCGGGGAAAAAGAGCTACACATCTGGTGGAAGAGTTTCAGGGCGCAAAGGCGCGGCTCCTGCGTTTGCATCGTTTGCTACTTGCACTTGTCTGCAAAGGGCCGAAAAGGGGGTATTCGCGCCACCGCGGCTCTTTGGCAGTCTGCAGTTTCAGCGTTCAGCTTCTGGCACAGTTTTGCAACCTTCGCCCAGAGCTGAGCGGGTGCACTTGAGCGGGCGTGCTTACCATTTTGCAGGCGTGCGGGCATTGCTCAGCGGGCGCGCTTGTGCAGGTGCGCTTACCATTTCGCAATGACATGTGCTGTGCTGGCGGGTGCACTTGGGCGGTCGTCACAGCTGCCAAAAAAACGCCTGATCTTGATGATATGGGTAAGACCATGACCCCCTCGTGGCGTTGATGCCACATGCAGCGAAGCCCTGGGATTCCTAATGACGCCGCTGACATAAACAACTATTGGCTATTCATCGCAGAGAGCCAAAAAGCGGGCCCAGGCCTATCTTGTTTATCACAGAGTAGCACATGTCCACCTTGTACTGCTTCTTGCACATGTCCTTGCCAAGTCCAAATTGGGTGCCTGCGAACTTTTTGCGTGTCGCTTTCCGTGGCATCTGCACACTCTACGGCAATTCCAAATCCTGAGCCAGCTCAGAAACATCGCAAGTCTTGCAACATTCTACAGTCTACAACACGCCCAAACCCTGACATGAGGTATTCCTAAGTAAAGGTAAAGGACCTGCATCACGGTGAGCTCGTTTTGCCCTTTTGCGAGCTCACCAAAAAACGAGCGGAAACATGGAAGGAAGCATTTGCCAGCCACCCCCAACAAACGCAACCAACAGTGCCAGGTACAACATATCGCAACTGGACATACAATAGGCTATATTAAGGCCTGTTGTTGAGTGTTGTACCCCCAGAAGCAACAAGCAAAAGGAAGGGCCACAGGGCACTGCTGGGAAGCCTCAGGAAGCTCCAAATGAACCTCACAGGACTTCCAAAAATCCTGACAGCCCCGCCTGTTTTCTTGCTGTTTAAAAAAAAACCTCCTGGAATTCAACCAAACTCACCTAATAAGATGCCCATCCTTGCATGAATCTAGTGGTGTTCGGTGTGTCCCTGACAAGGACGCCTGATTTCGGGAGTTGAACAATTACACAGACTAGCGTTTTCCGATCATGGCTTAAGCTGGCTTTAACGTAGCCCGCAACCCCATTCAAAGTACTGACCTCTTTGGTGGGGGTGGGGAACAAAACGCTACTGTGGCTCCTCTTTCCCACCAAGGAAAATCGAACATCGCCTTCAATAAACGGAAGAAACCAGAAACAGCACCGCTGCCCCGCTGCACCCCTGATTGTCTGGGGGACAGTCACTTGCTGAGTGGACGGCCCAAAAAAGTTCAAACTGTATATGTATAACTAGAAGGGTCTTCCCAAGAAGCTTAAAGTTCATGAACTGAGGAAGTGGTCGGGGAAGAAAAACCAAACCGAGTCTTTCGCCGACTCGAGGCTCCAGACTCGCGATCGCGGCTCCTGGTCGGTGACCGCCTTCTTGCTGGTGGCCCACACACCCAGCTGGCACAGCAAGCCGCCCAACAGGATCAGCAGCAGGCCCAACACCAGGACCTGCATCTCACTTCCAAAGTTGACTGGCCAAAAAAAAATGAACTTTTTATTTACCACTAAAATGGTATTTCCAAAAAGTTTATAGTCTACCAACTCAGGAAGTGAGGCATAGGCTGCATGGAGGTTCTGAGGATGGAAAAAGACAACAATCAGGCAATCAGGCAATCTGGGAGTCTCCATAAACAAAATGTTGCTGATCCGCTTCTTTTGGAAAGGCCCAAATTTAAAGGGTGGTGACTCCAGGAAGAAATAGGACAAACGCCCTATCTTCTCTTCCCAGATTCACAGAAAAGATCCCGAATAGGACAAGCCCAGGGTTTATAGGCCTTAAACCCAGCAGGTCCCAAGGCTAGCCCCCTAGCCCAACCTGCGACAACTTGCATACCATACGCTTTGGCGCTACCGGCGATTGTGCACCGGCTTTTCTGGGGGGTGCGGGGCAAAATCCTGTGCAGTCGGGATTGGTTTCCCAACTTCAGCAGCATTCATGGGGTTTCACCAATCCCAAATGTTTGTCCACAAAACTCCGACCTGCCAGAACTCCCTTTCCCTTCCAAAAGATTTCAACAGGCCTTTGGACAGGGGGAAAGATCCACAGGAGGCCTCGTCAGGGTTGGGCAACCTCTGTTTCAACACGTAGCAACTGTTATTTTAAAAACCTCTTTGGCTTCCTCTTCAAAGGCCATGGTCTGTTTCTCCCAACTGTGCATAAATAATCCGGGGCGTGGCCAAGTGGTAACCCTGCTCATAACCCGCACAAAGGGGACTTCCAACAATGGGTTTGGTGGTTTATATCCATGAACCGCACGATGTTGTCCAGTGGGGCCTGACAACTCCAAGAAAAGAAACCACCAGTACGGTGCAGGTCGGGGTCCTCGCCCGAAGGGCTTGCTTCGGGTTTCGATCATTCGATCAAAGGGGCGCCGGCGACCACAATGGCAGCGATGGTGATGGGATCCATGCTTGCGGCTTGCCCCAGCTCCAGCCTGGGCAAGAAAACATCGGCAAATGCCCAGCGTTTCCCAATTCGCGGTGCAGCCAGCCATTTTTGCTAGGTGCCAAAGAGGGGGCCGGAAACGGTGGCTTGCCAGCAAAGTGTCCCACGGGTTGTTGTGGCCCCTGGATCCCCAGCGAACCCCATGCAGTGAACGAGTCAGGGAGCGGACCATCCCCGACCTGATTGTGCCAGGGCTGAAGGTTCGAAGACTTGAAAGCTTTGGGATGGATAGGCCCAGCTAGGCTCCAGAGTTCGGTGCGGCTCCAGACTAGGGTTTCGGAAGGGCGCAAATAGGGCTGCAGTTGGGGATATGACTCGGGCTTGCTTTTGATCGCTTGGAAACAAGTATACCCCAAACGCAACAAAAGTGCCGCCCAAACTACGTCCCAACACAAGGAGGAGCTTGACGGCCCTTCCCAACCCAAAGCTACAAAGCAGGGATTGGAAGCTCAACCAAGCACTGGGGTCACGAATTTACCACCACGGAAGGGCTCGTTTTGCGGAATCGCTGAGGTGGCTGGGCTGGGCGAGCAAGAGATTCAGGCAAAGGTGGTTGCAGGCTTATTAACCCCTACCCCTCAGGTTTTGTTTGGAGGGAGGTTGGTACTTGGGCGTTCACCCAACTTAGTAAGTAGGCTAGAACCCCAAAAACAATCTACTTACTTTCCTAAAGTCCATTGGAAGACAGTCCAAGACCTGTGGGATTCCATTGGAAACAAGCCTAAACCTTTCTTTTGACAAGTTTAAAGGGAAACCTAGGCACAACAAACAAGAGCAACGCGAAAAGAAAACACAACGCAAACCGGAGGTTCTCCCAGAAGGGCACGGAAACCTGTGGGGCCGTCAGTCGTCACGCAGGGTCTCGTCAGTCACAATTATCCCGGGAACTTCTGCAGAGCACAAAATTGGCAACCTAAAACTAGATATTCCACAAAACTGGGGCGCAGGGGTGCGGGGGTGCCTGTTCAAACCAAGCCACAAGGATCCTGACTCCCTTGAGCCCTCGGATGTGCTCGCCTCAGATCCGCGAGGTCCAAGCCAGACCTCCAAAAGACCCGAGAATTAGAAATGGATAACCTAGACCCCAGCATGCGCCAACTCAGGGCCTTAATCCGGGCCCAAAGTCGCCCCCGAAAAGGTACAGCCGCAGTCCAAATAATGCCTGGGTGCGGGCTTGTTCCCAAACCGCAGACCAAGGCTGTACTAAGCAACTCATTTCCTGAACCAATCGGCCGAACAATCTCACTCCTTTAGACCGCCCGTTTTTCCAGTTACCACTTCCGGAAGCCAAGCCAACCATCATGTAGACCCACTATTGTGGTAGCGTGAAGGACTGCGCCCTCACCCTCAGAACCGGTCAAGCTGCTCAGCTACGCAGTCTGTGTTAGTTGCAGCATTCGCAAAAAGGGAAATATCTGTGAGCGGGTCTTCCTCCCTGAGCAAACATGCAACTCAAAATGTTGAGGCTTTGGCCGGGAGAGACCCTTTCCCTGCCAACCGCCCATCCAAATCACCAGTTATCAACCCTGTTGCCGAGTCATGTTCGTTTCATTCCCCTACCCGTTCCCTGCACGCTACCTGATCCCGCTCTCTCGCGCCTCGAGCGATTCGGCTTGATCACTGGTGATGCGTTCAGGCAGCGTCTGGCGCGCTTTGCGAGCGGCCGAGCTGAAAACACGCGGTGCAACGAGTTTTGTCTAAATGTCAAGCTCTTCAATATGGGAGAACCATGTATGCAACTAATTACCGAAGCTGGTTTCAGTTTGCTTCCAATCTTCGGGCGACATGTGTTTCCCAGATAATTTTGGGACCTGACGCACGCCTTTCTCGAGGCCCAAAAGCTTTCAATGGAAATTGCTTGCCCCAATGCAGGGCCCATAGGGTGCTTTCAGTATCCCCGCCCCGTTAAGGGGGGCATGTCTAAAAATATAATTTGCATTTTTTTAGGGCTTGCCACCTAAAACTGTAAGATTACGTTTTCTTCTGGGGACGTGCCAAATGCAAGATTACATTTTGGACGATGGTGGGCCCATCAACAAGGTACCTCACACATAACCCAGTTAGATTATATCAAAAATGTAATATTGCATTTTTCAAGTTCTTGAAGGTGCTTGAGTAGCACTTGGGGAGATTGGATGAAATTGAGTGAGATTGGACATGATGCGAAACACGGCTCAAGACTTGCGCAAAGGTGCTACAGAATGCCGCACAATGCAATCATTCCAATTGAGGCCTGATGGGGATCAAGCATAGGCTGTATTATATTTATGGTGTGTTATATTGTACTATCATCTGTTTTCCATTGTTTTCCTGCACGCGTCAACCAATCCAAGCTCACCCCGCCTGTCCTATCTTGCACCCGCACACGCCATCTAGCAAAGTTGGCTGATACTGCTCACTAGAAAAAGGAAAGGGGGAGGGGTTCAATAAATGTAAGCTACATTTCCCCTCCCCCATCCTCCCCCCCCTTCTCAACGCTGACCCCCTGTTGAGCTTCCCAGGGAAATCCGCAAATCCTAGATTGTTCGCATTCTTTGGGGGGGGGGAGGGGGGGTGGGTGAAAAAAGTAACTTTCGACGTGCCCAGGAAACAAGCTACATTTTCACCACCCCCCCTCCACCACAAAAACGAACATAAGCACATGGGGGGGGTCCCTTACTTATTTACTTTTTTTGGGAGGGGGAAAGGCGAAAATGCAAATTACATTTTATTGCATTTTTTTTTTGGGAGGGGGAAAGGCGAAAATGCAAATTACATTTTCAGAATTGCATTTTCAGACGCACCCGCCCCCCCGCCCCCCCCCCCCCATTTCGGGCCCTACGGAGTTGGCGATCTTTCAGTCACCTGGTCCCCGATCAAACCCCCCATTACCATGACTGATCTTTGTTGTGGTGTGACCAAAACCTTTTGCTCAGGTAGGCGCTTCTCAGCCCGTGAGATCTTCAGAGCAGCTCTTTAGAGCAAATCTGCTTTTGAGCGGGCCTTTTGAGACGTCCAGCAAGGTCAACCAGGGTCTCGCGCTTTTTCTGTCTGACTTATATGTTTGTCTTGTGACAAACGCAGTTCTGTCTTGCGACAAACGGCGCAGAACATGGCAACCTACCACTCAAACCAGTTTGCCACGACATAGGACCGCCGCGCCTGCTTTTTGGCTCCGCAAGAAGTTGGGCGTTGCGCTCTCTGAGCGCGTAAGAAAAACTCGAAACCCATCCAGTCAAACAAATCGAACAGGGAAGAAGCAGGGTAAACAACGCTCAGCAAAACTTGCAAACACTCCTTGACTGAAGACCTCCAAGGCCTTACATACTTACTTGCGCCCCAAGCGCAAATATCTCCAACCTAAGCACGCGCAAACACGTGGACACCTGCATCGTCGCCTCATCTTTCCACCTCCCCGATTCCTACCCGAGGGGTTTGAGTGTGCACTGCGACGTCGTCACACGCTTGCCCACTGCGCTTGCAATCGTTCTTGCCACGGAGATGCAAAAACGTGAGGCAAGTGAGAGACTGCCTTGGACATACACTCACGCTGCGCGTTCTGAAGGTCAGTGTGCGTGGCTCCGGCCTTCAAGGAATACGGCTTGAAGCCACGGTCAGCCAAACCTACCTGCAGAAGTGCATCCAAAAATGGCTGTGTCTGAATTTGGAAACTGGCATGTTTACCAAGCGCTCATCTGGTTTTGCAACGCCCTGCAAAGTTGCGGCGTGGTTGGCTCTGAAACAGTGACGGCACCAGCACCTGCGTTTCTGCCTGAGGTCTCAGTGTGGCCTAAACAACCACAGGCTGCGCCAATGAAGATGCAAGAAACCCCTTGCCTGCAACACCAGCAGTTCACCAGTTCTGAGGCAAGTGTGAGCAGCTGCCAAAAGCCTCAACGCCATGTCGTGACGGGCTGCAGCCACCCTAGCAGGAAAGGCCATGTTTGGACGGTTGCAAGCTGCTATTTTTACAGTGGCTTACAAGGTGTCTCGGCTATGGATATTGGGGTTCGCCCTCCTTGTTTGTCTACCGAATCTTGCTGCCGCTTAGCGATTAACTTGTGCCTGCAAATGCCAAAAACAAAGCTGTCAAGCCTTGTTGTCTCTGTTTGGAGTGGCGGGTTTGATGAGCGAAAGACTTTGCGACACACGCCTCGCCGCTCTTGAACTCCTTCCGCGCAAATACGCGTTGAGCTGTCTGAGAACGGGCATCAGTTTTCGGCTACTTTGTGAAGTCTTAATTGAAGCCTGGCAACCCACCTAGCAATCGCGGCGGCAGCCCCTGCAAGTGTTTCGGAGGCTGTCATTCGGGCGAGCCTTTTGTTGGGGCTAAGAACTCCGGGTCGCGCGCATACTGCTTTCCGTGCTTCATGCAGGGCAGCAGATGGGCAATGGCAATAGCAGCATGGGGCAGCAAGCTCGCTCTGCTCCTTTCCCTTCGCCTCCCTTTGTTTTTGCCAGTCAATCAAGCCTGGAGCTTCAACTCGGCCTGCTTGCTCTCTGGCTAGCAAGTGCAAAGGTTCGGGATGCCTCAGTGTCGTTGGCCGGCTCTACCGGCAACCTGTTCAGCTCTCGCCCGCTGCTAGCATGTTGGGTTGAGCGAACGGCTGGAAGACGCAGCTCAGCCCTCCCATGACAGAGGCCCGCACGTCCTTGTAGGCCTGCTCGTTGGTGATGAGGTGAATGGGAGTCTCGCGGGCTGAGTGCCGCAGCATGGCGTCCCAGGCGGCTCCGGGCAGCGTGACATAGTGGATCGGGTCGAGCCCCGATTCCGATAGCTCTCCAAGGGCCAGGACGTCGGTGTGGAGGTAGCAGTCGTGGAACTCGCGGAAGGTCTCCCACCCCATGAGATTGGCGGTGTTGACGGCCAGCCGGTAGTCCTCGGCGCTCACCGCTTTCCCAGCCAGCACGCTGTCGTAGCAGTGCTGCTCCCACACCGCAGGCTTCTCCCACGCTCGGCGCCGCAGAAGTGCTTGAAGGGCATGGGCAGCTTGCGCAGGATGCAGTCCCACGCCTGCTCCAGATCGCAGTGCGTCCGCCGCTGTTTGAGAGGTCGTCTTTGAGGCGGAGAGCCGGTCGGTGTGCGCAGCTGCAGCTCGGGGTGAAGCGAGGCCATCAGCGGGAAGAGCTCGGGCAGCTGCTTGTGGGTGCAGGCCCTGAGGTCGTCGATCATGCTGGCCAGGCTCGTGGGGAAGACGTTCGTGCTGTCCACGAACCTCAGCGGACCCCAGCTCATCTGCAGGCACTTCTCGCCCGACTTGCAGAGGACTCGGAGGCTGAGGTGGCTGTAGTCGCCCTGCTTGATCGCGGCCTGCAGGGCGCACCAGCCGCTGAGGGGCTTTGGAGCGGCCTTGGCCTTGGCCTTGGGCGCGGCCTTGGGCTTTGGCGCGGCCCAGAGCTTCTTTGCTGGCACCGCGGCACCCTCCTTGAACTCTCAGTTTCTCCGTGAAGTTCGGATGGAGTGTGCCCTTCACTCCTGCGAAGCGGCTTGCGGTACACTGCGGCCCCTCCTAGCCGCTGGGCGACCGTCAAAGCCATCACCACATCCTTGAGCCTCGTGGTCACAAGCCCTCTGACACGGCTATGCAAAGCTCGAGCCAGGCTCCAGCGCCCGCCTCCTTGCTCGAAAGCCCACCTCCTGCACGATGTGCAGGTGGGCTTCGTTCCATGAGTAAAATCCTTCTGTACGCCGAAAAGGGATGTCCGGCCGGCATTCAAGCGTGGGTTAAGAAACCACCTGCATCGCTGAAAATTGATTGGGCGACGACACGTGGAAAACGAGTGCCATAAGACCCTCAAACGCAGGTTTCCACGGGCACGGATCAAACTCGTGTGGGTCATGGTTGCGGTTCCATGTAAAGCTTTATGGGGTTCATGACCATCCCTACCAACCCCTTGTAAAAGGGTCTTGCCTGGCTCACATAGTGGCACTTTTGTCCTCCTTGTTTGGGGCAGGTTTGGATTCCATACCACCAACAGCACCAGCATGTGTAGAGTGTTCTTCTTTGGCGGAACCTGCAAGTGATCAAACGCAAAGCGCCAAACACCCGCCCGCGGTTGGTTCTGCGATGTCTAAAATAGTGCAGCCAGCCTTGTGCCAGTGAAACCAGCAAGAACCAGCAAGGGCCAATGGGAACGCTGCCTAAAATATTCACCCCGGTGGCTGGGGAAAGGAAGGGCGCCCAAATTTTGTCGGTTGGTTCTAAAGGGAGCCCTTCGAGCAAAAGCAAGGAACACCTAAATAGGTTAGGTGCTTGGGTCTCTTGTTCACGCAGGTCATGCGCGGCTGCCTGGTTGCCAACTTTCTCTTTCGCGAGTGCGCTGCTCTCCTCTTCCTTCCTGAGAGTGATCGACTGAGTCCGGCGTGGAGTCTCGAGTGGCTTCGGGCAGGGATCGTAGCAAAGAAAAACCTCTACAAATGCAGAAAGGGGCAGACGCTTCGCTCCCTCTTGTGATTGCACAACACATGTGTCTCCTCGCTTGCCCCGAAAACTAAAACTGTTCTGGCTTCTTTCCTTCTCAAGACTTGCAAGGTGTATCTCTTCCACGATAAGAGCCAAGATAAACTATCTGGAAGGATGGATTGTACTATAAAGATATCTAACACAAAGCACAGGTATCTTACCTGCTTCGAACATATTAGACTTTTTACAGGTAAACTCCAAGAACTGTTCGACACAGGCGCAGTGGCACCAAGTCTGTGGTCACCCAAAACCGATCAGAGGGGAGAAACAAGTAGAATGGGGTTGTGGGGGTGTGTATGGCCATGGGTCAAAACCCAAATCGTACCCCTGGTGAACATCCCAATCCCCACTAAAATAGACTAAACAGGGTGGTGCACCTACCCCAAAATCGTACCATTGGTTTTGACCCACAGCCATATGTTAAACACGTTGCTAGGCATAATGATAGGAGAACAATGTCTGCATGTCATTGTTTAGCCTTTACCCTGAAACCCATGTCCGTTCCTCATGGAATGGATTTTGACGGAACCCTTTTTCCGGGTCCTGAGAGAGAAACCGGACATCAACCAAGCGAGACAACTCCAAATCATCACTTCTTTTGCTCCCTAAGAATCTTGGCATCGAAATGGTCCTTGTAGACCCGAAACCTTCCAATGTAGATCCAAACACCGAGGAGTTGGACGATGCTCGGGGCTTGGACCCGCCCTGGGAGGGCTTTGGCTTTGAGTCTGCAATTCGCTCGGGGGCCAAAAATTAGTGATTGTCTCAATGGCGGTTGAAACGGGAAGTGTCCTTGAAACCAACTTTGAGAACCGCAGTCACAGTGGGTGCGAGTTTTAGTCGATTGCGGACCCTTTGGTGGACATCACTGCGGGGATTGCGACCCGTAAATGAGCTGAGGTGGGTGGTGTTGTTTTTTTTGAGGTCCGGAAAACTCACCATCCTCTGTTGCTTCTTCTTTTCAGAACATGACCAATTCTGGCACATTTGGATTTGCCTGAAACAGTAGGGGAACCCCCCAAAATGGGTGGCTTTCCTCTTGGCTTCCATGTTTTCTCACCACAACAAGGTACCAACGAAAACACATACACACAGAGAGACTCACGCAGACACACACACACACACAAACATGCAAACATGCAACCACCGCACACACATCCACCCGCGCACGCCCGCACGCCCCGCCCGCCCGCATGGCCATCGGGTGAGGCGCGCGATCGCCTGCGTGGAGTCCTCAGGGCTCATCCCCGCCAACTCGTAGAGCCAGGGGCACTCCTCGGCGTAGCTTTGGAACTCGCTCCGCCGGGCGGCCTGGGACTCCTGCGGGACTCCCCATCCTCTCCCAACCAAAAGATCAAGGCGGCGCAAGGCTGAAAAGGTCCCAAACACAGCCCTCCCATGGGTTGACTTTTGACCTCTCCACGTGAGGCTTACCTCAAGAAAGCAGAGGTCTCAAAAAGCAACAATCCTGAGAGATTGTCACCTCAAAAAGTCTCTAGAATTCAAAAAAGCAACTGCAAGGTAGTCACAAAACGCAATCCTGTAAGGTCTAGCCCCAAGAAGCTCTACAAGAGTCACTCGCAAGCTGTGATTCACACACGCAATACGTACAAAGTAGAAATGGTGGTATGGACAAAACCCAGCCTCCCAGCACGTCCCCCTCTCTTTTTTTTTCTTCTTTTCATTTCACCCGCAAACAAGTGGTAGAAAGGCGGACTCAGCCCATTGGCGTTTCAGGTACCCGCCCCTTTTTCCTTTGTCGTCCTCACTTTGCTCGCCGATGTGCAGGCTCATTTTGAAGAGCGACTCGATGGCGCCTCTTGCGAGCGAAGGCAAATCCTGGGGTCCCCTTGGTGAATCCACTTGGTAAATACCGGGGGTCTGGAAACATGAACCCCAAAATCACCCATCCCCTTTTGGCTTCTTATGGTCTGGGACAATGAGAAACAAGCTCCCCCGTTGACTTCCTTTTCGGGAAAGAAACACTGCAAAGTACCTTGAGGCCCCACTAAAGCCTTACAAACAGAATTCCCTGAAGCGGGGTGGTTGGCCACTGCGTGGATTGGGGTTGTCAACGGTCATAATTCGTGCACCTCGTTGTGTTCCAACTATGTCCTCAAAAGCAACCGTCATAATAACGGTTTGTCTAAAATCCCTAAAAAATGGTTGATGGCCAGAGCTACCAACTGCTACCAACCCCAAGTAAAGAGGTGGTATTGGCATGGCACAAAGGAGCTGCGGCAAATATTTGCTACGTGGTTGAATGCTCGGGTGTTCCCACCTCCTTCTCCAACCATGACCCCGTTTGGACTCATTGACCTCGCTTTCCGACGCCGCATGTGTTCGTGATCTAGTATGCTTCCCAAACAATGTTTCCTGCCGGCCTTTGCTCTGGTCCGTAAATAAAGGCAGTCGCTCATATGCAGCTACCACCAGTTCAATGTGAACAAATGGGTGGGGGGACATTCCAAGAAGATTTGGCTTTGTGGCCTCTGATAAGGCTTACTAACCTCTAAACTAAACCTCGGGTGTTCTTTGGGGTCCTGGGTGGTCTCTGAGGTCGGAATATCCTTTGACCAATGGAAACAATCGAAGATACACCAAGGCTACATGGTTGTGGATCCCCCTTTCCCACGCATATAAACATGAAGGGGACGGATGGATCGCGTTCGCCACCTCCGACCATGTACTCAATTGCAACCACAGAACCCGGTTGCATCACATATGATCGCCTCTTCTACCTCGGCTGTTGCCCCCCCAACCCCAAATAATATGTGTATACATATATATATATATATCACCCTATGGAAATTATATTTAGGCAGGGGTGTACCCACCACTTTTGACATTCACATTCATAGTTTGTTCTATTCCGCTCCATGTATATAGTGAACCGCAAAAGAGATCCCAGTCGGAGCTGCCTTGGCTCATGGTGAAACTTACCCATCCGCTTGCGTGGGGAAACAGGACACCAGCAACACCCAAAAATGTGGGGACCCACCCTCACTTGCCGAGGTTGGCCAAAGTATGCAAGCTTCGGTTTACCACAAGGTCCCTTTGCAGATAAAGCATAGGTGTCCTTTTTGGGAAAGTAGATGGCCCTGGTCGTTGATTGAACCCCCAGGTAAACCAGGGCTCTCGATTTTTCGACCAAATCAACCAAAAAGACCTATGAGCTAAAGCCCAAGAGAAAGGATAGAGTCTAAACACTTCCTGGGGCCCCAAAACACTGCTGTTTTTTGGTCAAAAGGCTTTGCCCGAAAAAAGTGGTCATACGGCCAAATACATTTTCCTTCGCTTTTTTTCTCAATATTTTATCGACAAAATACGGGCTTTATACGGCCAAATACGGGCAACTAATGCAAATGACCGAAAAAAACAACCTTTCGGGTAAAAACAGGCCAAATATGCCTTTTGACCGAAAAAAAAAGGGCATTTCGGGGCTCCAGGTTGGTACCACTCAACTGGTCCAAACCAAAGGGACTTCCCCCCCACGGTCCAAAGATTCTTCGCATCTGTTCAACATGGAGTGTCCAATCGCAATCCTCAATCCTACATTGAAGGGTTGCTAATCCCGCTTGGGAAACGGGTAAAAAGAACACACAAAGGGACCTACTGTTGTACATGCAGGTAACGGTCTAGCGAATTGCATCCAAAGAGCGAACAAAACAAACGTGGCCAAAGTCCACGCGCTCAGGGAATGAGCCGAGCCCAACCCACAAAGGAAGGTCCAAGGCCGACAAAATGCGGCGGCAACTTGGCTGGGATTGGTGGGGTGCTAGTGTCCCCGACAAAGCCGCCCTGATTGGTTATTTCAAACATAGGCGCGCACACACACACACACACACACACACACGCACACGCGTGTTTGGCTGGTGTCAAGGAAAAGTAGGGCCCTCACGTTATCCACCTCAACATTGCCCCCCTCCAAAAAAAAAAGAGAGCTTCACTTTGATCTGGTGGAAGTGGTGTCACACTTTAAATGGTGTAGTCTTTTAAGGGGTCTCTCAAAAACATGGTTTGTTTCGAAAAGACAACCCCTTGTTAGGTTGCAAACAAAAACAACTTTTGCTTGGTTGAATTCAAGGGAAGCACAGCGTTTTCAATAGCAGAACCTTGGGCAAAAGCTCAGCAGTCCACGAAACAAATCCTCCAAATCGTAGGCGATCGATGCGATCAATGCGAGCCTTCGGGGAGATTCGAGCAGCCCTTGGTTTTGAGGACCAATCTGGTGGCGGACAATGTTTCCTGGCCTCGAAGCAAACGGGGTCCCAGGAAAAAAGATGAGAAACCATCCCGGTTCAAACACTTGGGGGGTCTTTCCAGGGGGTGGTATGGAGTCCCACGTGATGGGTATTCGATTTGTGTTTTTACCATGTGGGCAACTCCACAAGCAGCCGGACTTTGATGTTTAACTAATGTCAAACAAACAAATTATACCAATGGTGATAACTTATAGGGCTAACTAGGGTCAGTCCCCTTGCCAGGGATATAACCTAGTGATGTGGAACCTCAAAATGGGAGTCTGCCATTAGTTGTCCTTTAAAACCGCCTAGAATAGGTACTCTTAAACAAGGCACGTCCATGTATGTCCAAGGTGCCCATGCCTCAGGAAGCTCAAACCAGTACCCAGTGGATCCAATTACACCTAGAGACGGTCAAGGAACTGAGGTATGCAACTAAAGTGGCTCTGGTATTCTATTGGTATGGAACCCAAACCTAAGGGTTTCGAACTTCACTTGAGGTTCCGGGTTGAGAAGGAAATGTATGAATCCTCGCCCACAAGGTGTCAACTGCCAACTAGACCTGTGCCAAGGCCACTTGAATGATCGAATAAACATGTGGGCTGGAAGGGCACGCTGTGCTCGGGGATGTCCTTTCTAGACCTGATTGGACATTGTGCGGGCCAAATGTTCAAGTCTTGCCTCAGTCTTCCGTCCAACCAGTACCCAGCGCGTCCAGTCACCCGTATAGTAGGCAACCAAGAAATGGAGGTAGGCAAGTGCAAAGGTGCCAGTTCTCTCTTGGCATGGAACTCCAACTTTTGCTCTGCGCCGGGGACCCGCGAATGGCGGTACAAAAAGAAGGACAGGAAGGCAAAGGACTGCCTGACAATCATGGATGCGGACACGGACGTTCCCAAAAGGGAAAGCTTCTGTTTTCCAAAACCCCTCCTCAGCTCTTATGAGTGTTGCAGGGAAGATACTCTGTTGCCAGTTCCCTGGGACCCACTTCGAGTAGAAGACATATCTCTCAAAATCGCCCTGAAAGATGTGGTTTTTCTCACCCGTGACGTGGTCGTCTCGTTTGGAGAACAAGCTGTTTGTTGGTTTTGATGGCCTGCCACGCAACGGAGTGTCATGCTCAGGCAAACTCTCGAGAAGGATCCATTGTCGCTTGAGAACAAACCAATCACAGGCTCCCGGAACGGCATTATCGCATCCGAGTTGCGAGCTTGATCGAAGGTTGCGGACAAGTCGCCCACCACCTTCTCCTGAGGCTTACCCACGGTGTTCAATGGGTTTGTCTTAAAATGGGGTCTCCCCGCACGGGAATCTTCAGTGTTGTGAAGACCCAGTCGTGCGGTCAAAGATCCTGACTGTCGGGCCCGGGATGTCCCTGAGCGGACCCTTCCTACATTCCGGTTCAATTCGCCAAAGAGCAATCGCCCTAAGAAAGGTTCATTCCTCAAAAAGGCGGTTTTTGTGCATGTCCAACCCCTTCCAACAGATCTAAAACCCTCAATGCAGGGGCCAACAATGCTTAGGGCAATAACAGGCTGTACCAGAAACCGGAAGACTGACTGAAAAGGATCAATTTCGAACTAATGGAACTTCATAGGGGCCGAGCTCATTCTGTCCGCAGCTCGCTATGAATCAAGTCGATTTGATGGAACATTGGTCTTACAGCCAGATCTCGTGCCAATGCAACTGCTCCGTATCTGCAAAACACAACAGGGAGAGGTGAACGTAATTACCTTGTCTGGACACACTCCCAGGTGCCATGGGAAAGAAGGAAACCCATTTGTGTGGTTGAAATCAACACGAACCTCCTCAAACAAAGAAAAACAGCACTGGGCTGGGTTCTTTTGGAAATACCAAACATTCCATGTCCGAAAACCGACAACCCATTGAATTGCCCTAAGCCCAGCTGAACCCGGCAGTGCCCCATTCTGAATTGGCCGATGTTGCAGTGCCCGCCCGATTTTCCCGGGCAATCGGATTCGCCTGCAGGGCGGTCGCTGTTTCTGAGATGTGCTTGGCCAGCGCGCGCATGCCGGGGGCCAGCGAGGTCATGTTGGCCTTGGTGTACCGGAGGTTCATGGAATGGAACAGTCAGGCTCCGTGGAAATGTGGGTTGACAGACCCAAAAATGACAAATCAACGGGACAGCCATTCAAGAACGACCTGGATTCATGTATGGGTACTTAATGCCTCCCCTCCACTTGGGTGGGGCAAGCAACTAGTAAGGTTATACTCGTGGTAACTGGGGTCCCTGACAACCATCGCTATAACCTACTTACTGAGTAGCTTGAACACGCACCCAATTAGTCCTTTGCCCCAGTGGATCCGCTTTCCGGGTGATGCTGAAAGTTGAAAAACATATTGGCAATTCCCCAATATCCTGTAGCTCCTACCAGGTGGGAAAGCCCTTAGTTGCCAACTATGCAGGAATGCAGCGAACGGAATCGCTGGCCTTGCCAGAGTATCCTCCCTCCAACAACCATGGACGCTGAGAAGACAAAGGCACATGCTAATTCACACAGTTCACTTGGCGTTTGCTGAAGTATTGCGATCATGAGGTGTTTTCGAAGTCCTTTCTCTCAGATGGGCTTGACAGGAAAACGAAGGGTGACGAATGGGTCCGAAACAAATGTAAATGAACATAAGAAGTTCACGTTTCACAGTTTGTCTAATTATTGTTCCTGCAATATAGGTCTGGGTCCAAAGAAGATACCCAAAATGGAACCCTCGTAAATTGGAACAAAACTAAAACGTGCGGTCTTTTGGTTTCATTTTGACCCATACATGAACTCATGTTGGAGATCGAAAAGTGAAGAACGTGGGTGACTGAACCACGCAACAACAAAAAAACAAAAAAAGTTGCCCCCCTCCCTCCCGAAGCTGCTCGAGCCTGAAAATGGCAGGTTAGGACTCAAACACCAACGGGCCCCCTTGAAGGGAACCCTCCGAATGGTTGCTTCGCATTGAAAACCCTTGAAACGCACGCTGCCAAAGTCCGAATCCGTTCGTGTTTGACCCGGCCCAACAAATGCCCTTCGTACTTGATCCGAGAACCCCTGCACTCACGACTACTTTATATCAATCAAACTTGAAGGCCCGGCCTTCCACGACTATGCGCAAGGGACAATCTTGAGGGACATTCCAAAGAGGATATGATTTCCAAAAGACATGGCACTGTTGCTTCAATGGCGGTTTGAACCTCAGGGGAAACCTACCACTTCTGGGCGGGTGACTTTAAAGTATTCAAAATGGAGTGCTGGCCATTCCAACCTCCCCAGGTTGTCAACACGGCCCTGGTTGGAAGCTTGGCCACAAGAGAGCCTCCAAACCAAGATGCTCAGTGATTTTCGTTGCGAGCACTCTACCATTTGGGGCACCACTATTTTGACACCTACCCGAGTCCGAGATGGTTGGTGGCTTGGAGTGACATCGTTAAAACCAGCCCAGTGGCTCCAGCCCAGGTAACCGTTCCCTCACCTAGATAGCGAAATGGAATCACTGGGAGGCTTAACCCTCCTGTCAGCTTCCATGATTGTTGGAGGGAGGGTAGCTGTGGCGGCCGTTAGGTACACCGGGCAAGTCTCGATTCGTGACAAGGCCACCCCTTTGCCAGGGGGCCCCTTTGCGCATGGTCACAATAGGCAGGGGCAGCAGTGCATAGGTGTCCTTTTTGCAAAAATCGATGGCCCTGGTACGATGATTGAACCACCAGGTAAACCAGGGTCTTCCGTTTTTTAAGCAAACCAATCAAAAAGGACACCTATGGGCAGCAGAGTCATAGTCAAAACCAGGCGCCATGGGACGGGTCTTCTCCTGCAAGGTCCTCACGAAGGACAGTTCCGCCGAACTCTTCTGCCACTCCTCGCATTTAAAAGCTTGCGGGTCCCACGGATCCACGGATCCAACGGATGTGGATCCTGTGGGCAGAAAAAGGGTGTCCTTGGGGAGCCCATTGGGGTAGGCAGAAACACCAGCTATTCATCAAGGTGATTCCGTGGAATTTGGGGGTATCATTGGTTCCTCATTCTGTTTAGATCATTCCTTCCAGAAAACTAGACACTTGAAAGCGGGCTTTTGCGAAAAAAGGGAATGAACCCCTACGGAGCCCAATATGGTAGTAGTTAAAGGTGTTGTTTCTCTGAGAAAACCCAAGTTCGGTTCCAACCGAAGAGACGCCCACCTTGACACCTGTGCCCCGTGTTTTTTTTGGTTATTTCCCAACAGCTGAAAGCTTTGGGGTCTCAGCCCAGATAGGCTCCGGGGTGGTTCGGGGCGGCCCTGAGGAAAAGGTTCCACGAGGGTTCCACGAGGGTTCCACCAGGGTTCTGGGAGGGTGTTGTTGGGGATATCGCCTGAGCTTATTTAAAAAAAAAAAAAAAAACATACGGCTCCAGCAGTGAACAGGGGAGCCAGGGGGTTGTTCGTCATAGAAACTTGCACAGGGACTTAAAAATGAAGTTGGGCCAGTTCAAAAAACACCTGTGCCAGCAGATTCTGCTGCTTTTGTTTTTTCTATGAAGCAGGTTGTGGAATTGAA